CCCCAAAACCCCAAAACCCCAAAACCCCAAAACCCCTATTGGACTTATTAGCTATAAATAGAGAAAGCTCAAATTTCTATTAAATCATTTAATTATCATTTTAGAATCATGGATTATAAAAGTGAAGACAATACTTAAGATACTACTACTACCTGCGATTAAGGTAAAGAGTATTACCTGCCAAAACCATTGATGATGTTGATAGCTACATATATGAGTAATTATGAGCTAACAAAAATCATGCAAGCCTGTGCATATTTTAACTCCTGCGTGGATTCAAGTTTTAAGATACTTTACCAAAAAACAATTCAAGAGCTATTCATTAAAAGCTCTGATATAATAAATCCCGACGAAGTCAAATAATAGGATTTAGGGAATCAAAATTTGAATAACAATAGTTGGATGATGAAGTATGCTTAGATATCAACAAGGTGTCCATTTTATGTCAATAGTAATCTAAAATTGAACCCACATGAGCCTGAGATCACAAAGAATGTGATTTCTGAAAAATAATAAACATGCTACGGATCTTCATTATATAATATCTATTAGGGAGGAAAAATAAATGGAGCTCTCTCTACTGATGGAGAGCTCTTCCTATCTGTAAATCAAGCCATTATAGAAGCATTTTAATCTAGAGACTAAATATCAGAGAATCCAATTGCCTCAGGTGATCAAGGACTAGAAAGCTACATAGTCCCTCATAAAGTAGTATATGTGGCTGTAGGAGGTCAGGATTTGTCTTATATTGATTAATTCGGCTAGGTATATTCAGTCGTATCAACAGGTTCCGATGTTCCAAACTCAGAAACAAAAATTCTATAACCAATGAAAATTAACATCCCTGAGAGAGCTAAATTTGTCAGTGTTGGACTCTGGTGTTCATATGCAGTATCAGAATCTAATAAAATCTATCATTGGTAATAAGGCTTTATTACAAATGATGATAAACCAACCATTGTTGATGGAATAAGTGAAAATATTCAAATAACTGATATCAAGAGTAGCAACTTTTCAACAATATTTCTCACTTAACATTAAACTGTCTTTGAAATCGATCATGCCCTTGATTATCAATTGCCAGTCAAGGTAAAATTGATAAAAAAATTAACAAACATTAAATCAATTGCCTCTTCATTCGCTCACTTATTAGCTTTAGAAAGACATGATATCTTACCACTCGCACAATGGGATTCAAAATAAGTTGAGAAATGGTTTAACGATATTGGACTAAATGGATGTTGCAATATTGTGAAGTATAAAAATATTGATGGCTAATAGATTTAAATTGCAGATACTGAGTTTCTCAACGACACTCTAGGAATTATTTGCTAGTTTGAGTAATCAAAGTTTAGATATGAAATATCTAAAATTAAAGAAGGAAAAGTCGGAGAACATACTCTGTATGGTTGGGGTTCCAATTAACTCGGATAGCTTGGCTTGTTAGGTTCTAATTATCCAGGTCCATAATAAATTCCACTACCTGATTTCTAAGATCCAAACGACTTCATTGAGAAAATAAAGTGTGGTAAAAGAAACAGTGCAATAATCACTAATAAAGGAGAGGTCTGGATTACAGGAAACTTTAAAATTGAAAAAGTTCAAAGAAATTCGTTCCTTAATTAAAAAGAATAGCAAGCTCAGGAGAGTAAAAAGTTGAAAAATGGTGCTAAAATAGAAGATTTCATGACTCAAGAGGAAATAAATGAGAGTAAAAGAGGTAAACAAAAACAGAAAGCTGGCAAAATTAGATACGCAACCGAAGAAAAGTTGGAAGAATACTGGGAGGCTTGTAAAATTGAATCAGAGAGAAAGAAAAAGCATAAAAACCACCAAAACACTCATATTTAAGGATTGAAAGATTTTAGAGAGGAATATAAAAAAGAAATTGACAAAGAAAAAGCTTTGAAGCATAGATGGTTAGACTTTACTCATTCATTCAATATGACTGCTTTTGGAAAGAATTATTAAGTAGAGAATCTTTCAATGGGCAATAGATTCTTTATAGCAATTTGCACATATAGATTCAACAAGACTGTTAAGATTACAAATAATCACAAAGATGGCATGAAATTTAAGGGGGCCGATAAAGTTATTAAAAGAGTAGAATATCTGATGAAACAAAATAAAGACAAAAAATATACTATTTGCTATGAGGACAGATTTTTGGGGCTGATCGAAAGTGAACTAGAAAAGTTCATCTAGAAGAGTGAAGTGCCGTATCATAGAATTTAGCTATTTAAATGCGATGATGAAGTGATTTGGGATAGAAAAAAGAAGTTTACTATGCTTTGATTGAGACAAGAACTCTATCTAAATTCACTTATTATATCTTATAGCTTCAACAAACCCTATACATAATTGTAAATGAACTTAATTTAATGAATATATATATTAATATAATAATCAATCATTTTAAATTGAAAGATTCTTAAAATTTAGTTCCCCCTAACGTCACATTTGATATGGTTTGAATATTTCTTAGTAGTTAACCTCTGTATTTTCCAGCCTGTTGGGCTTTGAAATACTCAGCAACCCTCTTTTTTAGTTTCTTAACTCCATACTATAATTTAAGGCTCTCCTATTTGTAACAGTTTTAGAATCTGTTAATGACCCATTACTAATTACACTTTAATTTAATCTATTTTGCTTTTTTGTAAGACTGTTTGGCAGATATGTAGAATGATCCACTTTTTCAAGAACTGGTAATTTTTCAAAAGTTTCTAGTGAATAGTCAGCTGCAAATCCAGAGTTAAGATATCCATAATCTCTCTCTAACTATTTTTCGAAAACTGTTGATTCATATAATCTTTTATAAGAAGATGTTTATTCAAGTCCTTTTAAGATTTGAGTATTGTCTACAAAGCCAGAATGTTCTGATTTTATGACTTAATCTTTCCTACTTGAAAATTTATTGAAATTTGGAACTACTTTGCTAAGTTTAGACTTTATACAATCCTCATCATAATCATAAAAATGTTGGGGCTTATTTTAATCAATTGGCATTTCTTTTCGTGTTGAGTACTTTGATATACTAACATTACCAACTCTTCTAACACTAGATAAAATTTCTGGTGACTTATTGATATTTATGAATCTGTTTTCATTTGGAACTGCACTACTATTCAAGAAAGAAATAGTTTCTCGACTTAGTTATTTATCAATCATGACAACTCTGTTTTTTTAAACTTATGGAATTTCTGTCATAAATGCTATATCGTTGAATATAGAAGATACACTATTCTCAATTTTCATGTTGGGTTTAATCTGAGCTAAGTTTCTGCTAGCATTTTACGATATAGCCTTCAATGGTTTACTCTAGCGAAGAGTAGGTGATGTTTCTAAGGTTCTTTGACTATCCTCCTAGTTTAAAATAACTTGTAATCCTATAGAGTTTTCTCTTAGAAGTTGTGCTCTTTCATTGATAACTTATTATTTATGATTATCTTAAGTTTTACTAATTAATGATGCTTATTGGAATTCTTGAGCTAGATCGTTTAGCTAATTTCTTCTTGAATAGATTTTATTTAATTTTGCACATGGCATTCTCTCTCAATTTTTAGCTGAAATGTTATTAATTTTTGTTGAACTAGATGGCTAATGCTGAAAAGCAAATGCCACAGGTCTTTTCTCAAGTTGATTAAAATTAGGATTATATTTGCAATCGACTTAGTGCTTATAATTTTCCATTATTTTAACCATTGTATGGTCTCTGCTAACTGCTTAAAAGCACATAGATCTGCCCTTCTTATCTGCTCTCTTCCTCAAGGCACTCTCAGAAGTTGCATTTTTCCTTATCTAAAATTTTATTAAATTTTTTTAATTATTTTACCTCTTTGTTATCTTTTTGACCTATAAATACTTTACCTACTATTTCCTTTAATCCCATTAACTATGTGAACTGATTGAAAAGAGGTTCACTGCCATTTGTTAATTAATTGATTCTTTTATGTAGCTCCCCTCCTTTGCCCTATGAGTAAGGATCCTTGTCAAGTGTTTAGTTTATAAGATCAAATTGATTTCCACCATACTCATCTCATTCTAGTATATTCATCTACTCTGCTGATGTATTCATCATTCTCTCTTAAATTATTTTCTTCTCATTTAAAGCTGTGTATTAATTGAAGGTTTATTTTCCTTATCTTGAAACCATTGGAGTAGCTAAATCAATACCAGTCAAGCCGATCCCAGTATCACAAATCATCTTATTTTTACCTTTATTACTTAAAATTAAATTAGTTGAACTATGATTCTTTTTTATTTTAGATATTGATTAATACTGGGGTTTTGGGGTTTTGGGGTTTTGGGGTTTAGCTATGC